TGCCATTTTCCCAGTGGTAATCTTGAAATCCGTTTTACCTTCATAAAATCTCAAGCAGAACTCTACTACATCAACTATGTCAATGTAAAACCTGCCTTAACTCACGTTAAGAGCATCAAATTAGACAATGTATATGAAACTATTTTGTAAACTGTAAAGTACTCCACAGATGCGTGTTAGCATTATTAATGTTTTCTCTGGGTATAGCTTTGAAGTGGTGCAGATTCTTTCTGTTAAAAACATAGTGTTTCCCAACAAGGAGGGACACAAATATTTTCATGGCCATGGATTGCTAGATGTTTTGATTACCTAATACTTGAGCCACCACTTCCGTGGTATGACATAGTTTATCAGACAGGGTTCAGTTTAAGAAATAGAAACTGCAAGAGGTATTTTAAAGAGAAAAGTATTTAATACAGGATTTAGGGTCTTACACAATCTTAGTAAAAGCTGGAGGTATAGCTGTAGGCCATGCCTCCAGAATAGCACAAACCAACTTGCAGGAAGAGCTGCAGCCCCTACCCCAGTTGCAACAATGGGGAATGAGGATATTGAGTTTAAGAACACACTGTCCTAGCTGTGATCCTAGGATTAGGAAGCTGCCTCCACAATTGCCTAGACATGGGAACATAAAGTCCCCCACAATAATGGCAATGAAGCAGAATTCTGGGACTGGTAACTTCATGACTTTGCTTGCCAACAGAACAATCAAAGTCCAGGAAAGTGGCTATGCCTCATTTCTGCATTTTAAATCTCATGCAAGTGCTTAATTTGTAACCAGAATCCTACTTGCAAAGGAATGTAAGACACGTAGTTTTTAGCTTCCCACGCTTTATAATACCAAAGGCACATTAGAAGGTACAGTGGGAATGGATGCTGAGTGCTATTTGAACATGTTCCATCTCAGTGTCATCACAGCTGGAAGGAGTCAAAATTGTTTCAAGGTTGGCAATTGATTTACTTCTCATTTTTCATAAATTAAAAGTAGAATAAATGTTATCCCTCTCAAGTTTCTGTCTCACTGATCACTGCTTGTATTCTGACATACTTTCTTGAGTGGAGGGGAAGAGGGCATGGTTGATACCTGATGTGCCAGGAATTCTACATAACTCACAGTCTGTCTTGTGCCACTTTCCAGACACAGGACATGCTAGTGGAAGCATTAGTCATGCACACTAGAGAGTCACACACTTTATAGATGTCAGTATTCTGGCTCAAAGATCAATAGGGAGAAATTGCAGTTTTCACTGATTGAATTTTTTTGTTGTTGCTCACATTTTTAAAACACAAGATTGAGAGGGACTCTAGAAAAAATGTACCATTCTATTAACAAAGTTGCTGGTAGTTTAAAAATTCTAGTTCCTTTAAAAATCCTTGTATACTTTTTTAAAGCTATGGCTTCTCAGATTGTCAGCTGTTTATAAGTTTTGCTTTTCAGCTTTCTGTGTTTGTGTTTATATATATGAAATACAGGTTGAGCATCCCTTATTTGAAATGCTTGGGACCAGAAGTGTTTCAGATTTTGGATTTTTTTAATAGGATTTTGGAATATTTGCATTATACTTGCGCATCCCAAATCCTACAAGCCAATATCTGAAGTGCCCCAATGAGCATTTCCTTTGAACATCATGTCAGTGCTCAAAAAGTTTCAGATTTTAGAGCATTTTGGATTTCAGCTTTTTGGACATGTGATGTTCAATCTGTAATTTAAAATTTACGGAAAAGCAGAAATAGTACAGAGAGCTCCTTATACCCTTCACCCAGATTCCCCTATTGCTGACATTTCTGAACCTTTTAAATCTCATGTGAGTGCTTAATTTGTAACCAAATCCTACTTGTAAAGGAATCTAAGACACGTAGTTTTTAGCTCTAATACCGAAGGCACTTCAGTAGGCACAGTGGGCATGGTGAACCATTTGGGAAT